AACCCCCTCCCTGAGGCCCCTGCATGCCCACCCGCCACTCTATGCCCTCCCCCAAGTCCCTCCCCAATCTGCCAAACAGCTGTTTGGAGGTGGCTGCCGATCAGCTGTTCGTCGGTGTGGCCGAACAGCTATTTGGTGATGCCCCTGATTAGCTCCTGGGGGCACCACCAAACAGCTGTGGCTGGTGGGGTGCTGAGCACACACTAGTTTTTTTCCATGGGTGCTCCAGCTCCGGCTCACCCATGGAGTTGGCGCCTATGTGTCTATGAGTACTCAGAATTTGTTCTCATTATTCCATGCATTTTAAAAATGCAGAATTCAAGCACAAATTGAAGATTCAGCACACTCCTTATATGACAACGTACACGCTCAGCAATGGCAGAAAAAACGACTTTCAATTTGAGCTACTTCAAATTTACAGTCTCAGCTGCTCAACTGGAAGCACAGTTTGATGCAGAATAAGCTATTGTCTCTGCTTTTCTTAAAGTTACTAGGAGTTCTTAGTCACTGGGTGAGAAGCAAATATATTGTCTTGGATAAAAAAGTGGCTAGGAAACAGAAAGCAAAGAGAAGAATTAAATGGTAAATTTTCATCAAGGCAAAAGGTTAGCAGCAGGGTGTGTCAAGGTTGTTTAATATATTTACTAATTATCTGTAAAAGGGGGTAGATAGTGAGGTAGCCAAAATGCAGATTACTTAGTTATTTAGGTTAGTCAGGACCAGAGAGGCCTGTGCGGAACTTCTGAAAAACCAAAACAAGCTAGGTGAATGGGCAATATGATGCCAAATGAAATTCAGTGTAGCTAAATGCAAAATAATGAACATTGCAGGAAAAAAATCGAAGTCCTTAAAAATGTGTACACTTTACAGGGTACTAAATTAACTCAAGAAAGGGACCTGGGCGTCACTGTAGACGTCAATACATAGCTGTGGTCTAAAAAGCTAACAAATGTTACAGCGCGTAAGGAACGGGATGGTGAATAATACGGAGACTATTGTAATGCTATTATATAAATTAACTGTGTGCCATCATCTGTAATACTGTGTGCAGTACTGGTCATGCCATCTCAAAGAGGCTATTGCAGAACTAAAGGAGATTCAGAAAAGGGCAACAAGAAAGATCAAAGGCCTAGAAAAACTCTCAGATAAAGAGACATTGAAAAGATTGGGACTGTCACCTTAGAAAGGAAACGAATAAGAGGGAACAAGATTAAAGTATATAAAATAATGAATGGTGTATAGAGAAGACAGATCAACCGCTTCTGTTCTCCCTATCTCATAACACAAAAGCAAGGGGACATTAAATAAAATTAAAATGTGGAAAGTTAAAAAATCACTAAAAGGAAATACTTTTTTGTACAATAAGTAATAAAACTGTGGAACTCTCTGCCACTGGCAGTCATTGAGGGCAAGAACATAACAAGAGTCAAATTATTCAGAGTTGTCGCAATTAATGATAATAAATTTTGGTAAGGGATATCAAGCCTCATGTTTTAGAGCTTATGTCAATCTCTAACTATTATAGACCAGGATGAGACCTAATGTGGGGGACAGATTACCCCACATCTGTCTACTGCAGGGTTCTCGCATCTTTCTCTAAAGCATCTGGTACTGGCCACTGTCAGAGACAGAATACTGGATTACATAGACCTTGGGTCTGATACAGTGTATCAGTTTTATGTTCCTAGTGTTTATTTGCTTCCCTCCGCTTTAATTCTGATCAAAGAAATTATCAAGAAAACTTACGTGTGCAGGTTTTTAGGTCTTCATTAATGATGAATCCTTCAGAACACTGACAGACATATGAGTCGCCTGTGTTCAGGCACAGCTGCTCACAGCCATGGTTGTTCTCAGCACAGTGATCCACTCCTAATGGGTTATGTTAGGAATTAAGAAAACACATTAGAGAGTTAAAGACCAAAACCATGACATGGTACTACGTGCTAGAGAATCTTTGTACATATGATTATCAAGAAAAAAAACCCCATAAACGTTTGCACTTATATAGCTATCCCATCTAAGGATCCATTTGAGAAACATGAGTTAATTTATCCTTATAACAGCTCAGTGAGGTAAGTATTTATTATCCCTATGTTACAGACAATGAATGTAAGGCACGGAAAGGTTACGACTTGCCCATAATCACACAGGGAATCTGCAACAGAGTTGGGAATAGAGAACCCAGGAATCCTAATAGTGTTGTGCCTTAACCACAAGGCCATGCTCTCTTTTTCACACACAGAAATCTTTTCTTTGTTCACCACGTGTTTTTCTCAGCCAGTAAATATGAGTGTTAATCATTTATGAGTTTCAACTTATTCCACAATAATTAGAGGATTATGAGTAAATTCTGTTTAAACTGACAGATACAGTAATTTAAAAATATTCTTTTGCTGCTAGGTTCTATCTGCTAACGCCAAAATATGGGTGTGGTGGGGCGGCTGCCCCACCCCCATGCGAAAGGGGACTAGAGTAGGCCAGAGCAGCTGCGCAGGCCAGCAGCCAATCAGGGAAGGGCCTACTGAGAGCCAATGAGGGCTGAGATTAGAGCCAGCCAATCAGGGCTAGGCTGGGCCCTATATAAAGGCTGCACAGGAGAGCAGCAGGGAGTCTCTCCCAGATCTTCAGAGGGGAAGGTCTGTCTCCTGAGCGAGGAGACCAGCACCTGGGACAGCGCAGTGCTGGGCAGGCTCGGGGGAGCAGAAGGGAACTCCAGCCCAGTACCTGCCAGGCTGCAGACCCTGATAGAAGGGCCCACAAGGTGCAAAGGGGCCGAAGGGGAAGCGGCCCAGGGAGGAGAGATGGACAAGGGGAGTGAAGGAGGTCAGGGTGGCTGCTGCCAGAGGGCCCCTGGGCCAGGACTCAGAGTACAGGGTGGGCCTTGGTCCCCCCCTTACCCCTTGTATTGCACCTGGCTGTTGGAAGTGGCATAGCGGACTGCACCAGACCCCTGATGGAAGGGGTTAGACTTTGGGGTGTGGTTGGCCACTGCAGCTGTGGCGAAGTGAAAGACTGCTGTTAACCCCCCCCCCCGGCTTCCCCCGGAAAGGGGGGAGGATGGACTAGGGGGCACTGTCGGAGGGCAGTGGCCTGAAAAGGACGCTGCCGAGCAGGGAGCAACGTGGGTCCGGACACCAGCAGAGAACAGATGATGGATGGGACACCACCAGCAGAGGGCACGCCCCATGGACTGAGCTAATTCCCGGAGCGACCAGCGGGAGGCGCCATGGTGTGAGTCCCAACCCCGTCACAATGGGACACTTAAAAATGGAGAGTGTAGGGGACTTAATGTAACCACTTTGCATTTTATTGATTCTGTATTTGTGATGGAAATGGTCTCTTTAAAAACCAAATATATGTGTGAATTTGAGTTTAAAGTCTGCACTGTGTCTCCTAACCAGAGACAATTGAGAGGTATGGTTGATAGTTCATAAAGCAAGATATGTGCTTGCGTGAATGTGCAGTTTAACTTTGCTGATTTTGTAAAAGTACAGAGCAAAGCATTTTAGCAAGAAAAAAATCTTAAAAGATTTTTATATCAAACTTCCCCCTTAACATTTTAGACTGGACATTCTTCACTATTCTTAGTCACATGGGTGAAATTCACCCTAGCTCAACTTGACTGAAGTCAGTGTTACCCAATATAAATGTTGTCTATTATGTCTCAATTCTGCAGAGCATTTACAGATGCAAAAATTTACTGGATTATCAGTCATATCCATATCCATTTGCTAAGATGAATAATGTTGTGTGAGATTTTTTTTTAAATTACATAATATATATATAGAATGTTTAGGTTTTAGGCTAGAATGTTTAGGTTTTAAAAGTGATATTAATAATACATATTACAATGGGCATCTCTTCTTTGTAACAGATGATGGTGATCTGAGAATGTAATTTGCCAAATAGGATAGTGGTTTGTTTATTTTAGTTGTTTCGCATTTCTCTTGTACAACAGCCCCAAAGCACAGCTCCACTTATGATGATGTAAACTTATGGAAAAAAGGAGAATGTGCCAACTGGAACTTCTTGTAACTAGTAGAAAACTTCAATCTCGGCTTCACTTGTTCAGGCCAACAGTATTTGTAACTATGTCTGATGTTAAATCGGGACAGATTCCTGTATATATATATATAT